AGCCCTGAGCAAAAACATGTTCCTCTCTTTTCTACTGGGGACTGTATCTCATATTGGTATTCAAGGAAGCCTGTTTTTTGTTTTTCTTCTTCTAAGGCATCCTTCAGTCTCGAAAGACCATGGTAACGCGCCCTATATGAGTGTCCTCTCCAGAGCACGAAGCCTGGGTAGAATAATATGGAGGATAGGCTGTTACCCAAGCAGCAAATCCCCCCTCTCCACATGGCTGAAATAGTCCAATGGAAAGGCAAGAGCCAATACAACTGGTTCCAGTGATGTCGCAGGAGTTGCCAGAATGACACAAACTGCCTCCGGGACTCTGGCTCCGGATTTTGCCTCGAGGTTCACTCTTGAAGCCTTTTCTATCAGTGGATATAGCCACAAGGCAGTGGAGGTTTGAAATCTGAGTTTTCCTTCTCCTAGATGGGCTGCCTCCCAAGGCTGACGAGCCCCACCTACCCAGTCCAGGTGGATTGCGTTTAGTCAGAACTCTCCACTATGACCTGTCTGTCTTGGGTGTCTCTGCATGGCATAGCCCATAGCTTCTCTGAGTTACTCAAGCCACTTCGCCACAACGAGGCAGCAATCCTTGTCGTAATTTTACAACACTGTGATTAGGTGACTGCTGACCTGTAGATTTATAATAGGTCACTTGCTTAGGAAGATCCAGCAGCGAAAAGACTTGTACCACATTTCCAGAACCAAAATCACAGAGGAGCTGTGTACCTTTAAGATTTTCACAGAGAACACGGTTTTACCAGTACCAGATTTATTTTCCATCAAAATGTTGCAATGGTAAGACAAGGTGTACTGGTATGGTTTTGATTCAGCATTTTAAGATGCAGATGTTCTTTCAGGTTCTGCAGCAGAAAGCCCTTCTGACATTTGATTCCCTACTTGTGAAATACCGAAAGGCTCAGCTCTGATTACTTTTCAGAGGCAGCAGGCATATGTATGTCTATGGGGGGGGGCGAGAGAAAGTTGAGAACCTTCTCTTTTGATTAGAGTGATGAGATAGTGAGAATATGGGTTGGATATTTAAGACATAAACAATACTTGCCTTTGGCTTTGTTTGATATATCCCCATTCAATTTCATATTATTACTCATTGCTTACTAAAGATTATTTCACAGCTGAGTGATGAACATTTTCATATAAAACCAACTATTAGATAACGAACAGTGGGTAAATCTAATCATATGTTTAAGGGAAAGAATATCAGGAGATTGCCCAGTCCTTCAATACTGTCTCTTTCTCCCCACAATCTTTCACTTATGTTAATTAATAATTATGTTTCATCAAATTGATCCTGGCTTATGGAGACCCTTTCCAGGATTTTCCAGGTTACAACATGCTAGGTTGGCAGGAGCTGGGACAAGCGACAGGAGTTCACTCCGTTGCGTGGTTTTGAACTGATGGTCTTACAACCTTGCAGCTCAGAGGCTCTGTGGTTTAACCCGCAGTGCCACCACATCTCCTAAATTATGTAGTAACTGTATTACTGTCCTCCATTTTTTAAAAATATCCCAATCTTAATGCAAATCTTCATAATTCATTTTTTGTGTGTGTCCCCACCCAAGTTAACTGAAATTAATATCAGTGTGGACAGCAGATGGGTTGTAGATTGGTTGTTAGGTTCCAAAATAAGTAAAATTCAATTACCTCAAAATATGTTGGGACTAAAATTCTCCGTTTCAGAATGTCAAGACTTAAAGGTCACCATAACTGTGACACTGGCTGTTTAATCAGAGCTCTCATTTAGTATGATAATTTAAACCAAGATGTAAAACTGCTGTCCTGAGGTTGAACGAGACCCACAAGGCAGTTTATGTGCTCCAAGACAAAAATGGCTTCATTGCAGAAAAAAAGTGAATTGTCACTTCCTGAAGACTCCAGGAAGAGCAACTAGTCTTTTTAAATGCAGTGCAGAGGCCTCAACAGTTACACGATACAGTGGTACCTCGCTAGACGATGCCCCTGCTGTATGACGAAACTGCATGATGATGACTTTTTACGATCGCTATAGCGATTCACAAAACAGTCATTCCTATGGGGGAATTCCGCTGGACGTCAATTAGGTCCGTGCTTCGCGGACCGTTTATTCCCAAGACGACGATAATGCAGTGCAGAGGCCTCAACAGTTACACGATACAGTGGTACCTCGCTAGACGATGCCCCTGCTGTATGACGAAACTGCATGATGATGACTTTTTACGATCGCTATAGCGATTCACAAAACAGTCATTCCTATGGGGGAATTCCGCTGGACGTCAATTAGGTCCGTGCTTCACGGACCGTTTATTCCCAAGACGACCATTTTTTCCCGACAATCATCGGCTTTCTAAAATGGCTGCCCTGTGTTTTCCGGACCCATGCTTTGCAGGGCAGCCATTTTAACAGCTGATCGGTGCTCGGAAAATGGCTTCCCTGAGCGATCTTCGCTGGACGACCATGTATTTTCCCCATTGGAACACATTAAACCGAGCTTCAATGCATTTCGATGGAGAAAGGCTTTTCGCATGACGACGATTTTGCTTAACAGCGATTTTCCCAGAACGGATTATCGTCGTCATGTGGGGCACCACTGTAGTTTTATTTCCCCACCTGGGGCACTACACAGCTCAGGCAGGAGACTCTTGGGGGCAGAAAATGGGATCCATCCTAGCCTATCCTTGATCTAAGCAGACTGATCTAAGCAGTCAGTCACCCTGTGCTCGTTGGGCATGCCTACAAAACCATTGAGTACTAAATTTAAAACTGGTGTCACAAGCATTTTATCACGGATGCTCAAGCAGCTGAACATCCTTGTTCACACATAAGTCAAATCAAAGTGAGCAGATCATGCATCCTCCATTCCAGACCTCAGTTGTCTCCACATTCATACATATTCTCTAGCAGTCAGACTAGACATAAGATAGGATGTCCAAGGAAGAGGGAGCAATTCATCTCTCTGCTGGAAGACTACTCATGCTTCTGTGCTGGCTACTTGCAGGGAGGAAGCCCCTCTTCCATTACTGGCAAGGGCTTGTTGGTTTTAATGGAAGATGCTACCAGGAGTCCCTGCAGGAGTGATTAGCAAGGAACTTGTTTTGCTTTTCAAATAGACAGCACTCAGTGTGCATGTCTATCACCCATAAAGGAAGGCAAATCACAGCCGGCCAATCAGAGGCTGCCAGGGATGTTCACTCTAGCTAGCAAAGCAGAATGTGTCAACTTTGTTGGGTAACATGGGCAGACCATGCTGACAGAAGAGAGCATCCCTCCTCTTGTCAGCTTACAGTGTTTACCTTAAACTTCCACTCTTCATTCCAATAAATACCTGTGGAACAGGCATGAGCAATTTTAATGGCAACAAGGACTATTTTTCAATCTCCTATCAGCCTGAGAACTGTACTCACAAGAGGTAGGATATGAGTTAAATGGGGAGGAGCATCCATGTTTGCATATTTTAAATATTTTTTTAATAAACAGAGTACTGCATTTGTAAAGGCTATGTACTCTATAAAGTGCCACAACAGGCATCAACTTGGTATGACTAAAATGAATGGGTTTTATTTAAACTGAAAGACCCGTCACACCTTCTATTGGCCAAGAAAAATTTTAAGCTGTTTTCCATAAGTCAGAATTGACTTAATGGCATATTGTTGGTGGTGGTGTTGGGGATCGCAGGAATGTAGGGAGCTGCAAAAGAGGTCCTGGGGGCAACATATGGTCTGTGGGTTGGAGGATGCGCACCCACTTCTAGACCTCACAGTAAGTCTGGAGATGAATTGCCAGTGTTCTCTCTAACCATAGTTTCTTTTTAAGGTCACAGCTGAATACTCAGAAAATGCTGCTTGCCGCAATCCAGCCAGCAGAAGGAGAAAGATCATGGAGAGTAATGTGAGCAAACCATTCCTTAAGTCTAAATAACACTCTGTGGATCTGAATTGCTAGGTCAATATAAATTTAATGTAAAATAACAATATGTGCACATTTCTGTAAAATTTTCATACATTTCAAAATGCAGTTTATACCTGAAGAAAGCCTTTAAGAAAAATATAGCATACTTGATATGACATCAATATTTTATAACAGAGATTCAATGAATAATCCAGCAGTATCAACTCTCGTAACTTCCAAGGCATATTACACAAGCTTCTCAAACAAAAATCAACATATAGAAAATGGTTATTTTTCTCACGTCTGTTTTTAACCTATATGGTATCTTGGCTGGAACTCTAGAAAACCAGTGCTTTTTAAAAATAATTGGTAAAAGATTATCCTGAAATGTACATTTACAAACATATTATTCAGAGGGCAAATTTTAAAACAGAGAATGTGAGGAACAAGTACTTTCTGCAAGACTGTATGATACAAATTATCTCTGAACAAGGAAATTAAAGCACACATCTTATTTCTTGAAGAACATTTCCTCCCCAAGGAAGTGCAATGGTAAGCATGTCATCAGTACTGCTCTCCAAAGAGGTAGTGCAAAAGGGACTGTTGCTAATGAAACAATGACACTGTACTCCAGTACAGCCTATAAGCTAAGAAAAATGCAGTAGCGTGTACACAGTTAATAGTTTATGTGTCATGTCTAAAATAAACACACTGGGAAGGGTGCAAAGTAATGTGTCCAAAAATATCTGTATCCGATTTGTTCATAAATTAGAACCTTCCCAAGTGGGTGTAAATCATTTAAAACCCATGTTTGCAAATTCTTCTTGACTTATTTGTGCAAGAGAAATAGGAACACCCATATCCTCTGTGTTGAGTTGATGATGAAGAAAGTATCAGCAATGCCACTTGCCTCCTCACCAACACTGAAAGTCTCTTCCCCTGGTAGGAAACTCACAGCCAGCCTAAGCTGGACTCACATTTGGGCAGCCATTAAAATGAGAACATAGCAGTCCAAAATCTGCCTTTTATTGCTTTCCTTATCCTAGATGCTGCAAAGGACAGGAAAGATCTCATCTGATTCTCCAGCCAGGGAGGCTGTGTTTAGCAGATGTCCTCACCAACACTGAAAGTCTCTTCCCCTGGTAGGAAACTCACAGCCAGCCTAAGCTGGACTCACATTTGGGCAGCCATTAAAATGAGAACATAGCAGTCCAAAATCTGCCTTTTATTGCTTTCCTTATCCTAGATGCTGCAAAGGACAGGAAAGATCTCATCTGATTCTCCAGCCAGGGAGGTTGTGTTTAGCAGATTGCGTGAAGAAAGGTGGACTCCTCTGACTTTCAAGGAAAACACAGAACAGAAGCAGAAGGAGATATGCCTGCTGCTTCTGGCCTTCTCCAATGTTTCTGCCTCTCCCTCTCTCCTTCTAGCTCTCAGCCCTACGAGGGATATGGAGTTTTTCAATTCTGCAGTACTTTGGGTTCAGAAGATCTCTGCACGTACCACAGCAGTAGGAAATTGGCATGAGAAACATAGTAGCTTATCTGGTAAGCCAAGCTGCTCTCTGTTACAGATTTTGAATCCAATAAATTGTACACACAGAATCTCATTTTTTATAGCCTCTTATGTTATAGACTTGTTGTCTATTATTTATTAGACTGGTATTGTAGTCCAACGCTATAAGCCTCTTTAGATTAACTCTGCCTGGACAATCTTCAAGTATACTCAGTGCTGCAGACCAAGATTAAAGCAGGCAACATTATAATGCATCGAATATTTCTGATGACCAATCTAGTACCTGCATGAAGAAAATAGACCTAACCTATGAAAATTATTATTCACAATTACATTCTTATAAGCAACATAGTTTTAATTTTAATGATGATTTCAAGTGATTCAGAAATGCATTCAAAAAATTGCTATAATGTATTATCACCTAAACACAGATAATGCTAGCAGATTCACCTGAAAGCATCAGACTAGATTAGGCTGGCTTTTATACAATTTTAAAAGATCAGTAATGATTGAATAGAATTGACTTTTCTCCAGAGCAGCAAAAGCATTGTCTGGAACACAAGGGGATCTTCACAGGACGTGTAGAAAGCAGCTGTGCTGACGTTAGCCTTCTCCAATAGCTTAAATATAATGGAGTGGGGTTTTTGGACCATTTGGTATGACCGTCTCAATCGTGCCTTTTCTTCTTGATTTGTTTATCTTGTGGAGAAAAAAAAGTATGAAAAAAAGAATTACTACAATACAGCCACCACCGCTACATGTTTAACTAATATGTCTATAGTTGAGCCCATGAATGGATAGTGAAATGCTCTGTTCTTGAAGCAAATGGAAATGTCTGCTTCTCCTGCCAGTCCCACCACTTGCGTCACTGGATGGATATTTATGTAGTCTCTGTTTTTCGGATGTATGACTGATATTACCCAAGGATTTCCCACATTTGGGGTCATTTGCCTCATTCTGCTTCTTGTCTGATGGAAAGAATCATTAGGTCAGATTATGACCAATGATGTTTATGCTAAAATCAATACAACCGACCATTTCACGTTAGACCAAAATTAATTAATTTCATGTGTTTCCATATCGCTGACTGCACTACTCTAAGCAGTTTACATTGAGACAACTTGGCAAACCTTCCATCCCATTTCCCAAAATTAAACACCTCTAAATAGGGAAGACCATAAATAAAAAAGTCAAAATAATGGCAAAACAAGGTATACATACAAATTTAATTTAGGTGAGGAATGGCTTTGAATGTCTCCTGAAACAAGACAGTCTCTAAAATCCTCTTAAAAGGAGGGAGGGAGGAGGCCAAACACACTTCTTTCAGGAGCCTCTTCCATAAGGAAGGGGCCACTGCCAAGAAGGCACAATTTCTGGTGACAATCCTCTTTGTCTTAGTATAGCAACCTAGAGAAGTGACACCTGTGAGGAACAGGTGGCATGGGCTGATGTTCTGAGGGAAGGAGGCTCAGATAACAGGGCTCCAGACCATGGAGATCTCTGTCTACTACAATTAATACCTTGTAACTGGCCTGGAAACCCACAGAGAGTCATGCACATGGACCAGAACTGGAAGTATGTGATTGAACTTGTTCACATCAGACACCAGTCTGGTCGGCACATTCTGTACCCGTTGGAGTCTCCAGGTTAGCCTCAAGGGTAGCCCCACATAGAAATCAAGCACCATGAACAATTTCAGTTGACTTGAAAATGAAAACATTGTTACACAACAGAAAAAGCTGTTTGAGGACAAATATTATTTCCCTTCATTTCAACATACAGCCAAAACACTATGCAAATGTTACAATGTTAATTAATAGGTCAAAGATTAATTAAAGCAGAAAACTGAGGGCAACAGATTTTTTTTTAAAAAACCCTATCGGATAGGCTACAAATATATTTATGTAGATCTGGCTCTATTCAATCACGCATGGTTTGTCTACACTGAACCATCTATACTTAAGCAGAAGAAAACCTGAATTAACTGTAAGCACCAATTAAAGAAATAGGAGAGAAACATCACAGGAAAGCACTAGTCTGTTTAGGATGACATGAAGTTTAATGTGTATTTGTGTATAAAGTGCACCTTTTAAAACTAAAACATGTAATCCTCTCAGCAGCTTTTGACACCATCGGCCATGGTGTCCTTCTGGATAGGCTGGCTGGGTTGGGAGTTGGGGGCACTGCTTTATGGTGGTTCCACTCCTTCCTGGCTGACCATGTCCAGAGGGTGCTGCTGGGGGACAGTTGCTCTGCCCCATACTGTCCCCCATGCTGTTTAACATCTACATGAAACCGCTGGGAGAGGTCATCAGGAGGTTTGGGCTGAGGAGTCAGCAATATGCTGACGACACTCAGCTCTACCTCTCGTTTTCCACCAATCCAGGTGAGACGGTTTCTGTGCTGAACTCGTATCCGGACCTGGTGATGGACTGGATGAGGGTTAATAAATTGAAACTCAATCCAGACAAGACGGAAGTGCTGTTAGTGGGTGCTTCGCCGGACAGGTTGGAGGGCCACTTCCCTGCCCTGAATGGGGTTACATTCCCCCTAAGGGACAGGGTTTGCAGCTTGTGGGGTTGCTCCTGGACCCCATTCTAACTCTGGAAGCCCAGGTGGACTCAGTGGCCAGGGGCACCTTCCTTCAGCAGCGGAAATAGTACCAGCTACGGCCCTACCTGGACGAGCAGAGTCTCATGAGAGTTACACACGCACTGGTAACATCTTGTATAGATTAATGCAATGTGTTCTACGTGGGGCTGCCTTTGAAGACGGTCCAGCGACTGCAACTGGTCCAGAATCAAGCTGCATGGCTGGTGAGTGGTGGGGCCGCTAGAGAACACATCAAGCTGATTCTGATTAAATTACATTGGTTACCAGTTGCTGCCCGAGCCCAATTCAAAGTGCTTGTTTTGGCATATAAAGCCCTAAACGGCTTGGGTCCTGGATACCTGAAGGACTGCCTCCTTCCATATCAGTCTACCTGGCAGTTAAGATCTAGCCAGGGAGCCCTTTTGAAAAAGCCGTCCCTTAAGTAGGTAAGAGGGATGGGTTGTAGACAAAGGGCCTTTTCGGCAGCTGCCCTCAGACTATGGGACGCCCTCCCGACTGAGATTCATCTGGCACTGATGCTGATGAAATTTCAGCACCACGTCAAAACCTTCCTGTTCCATAAGGCTTTTAATTGAAATAATATCAACTGTGGGTCCTGATGGCAATTTTTAGAATATCTTTTTTAATTGCATTATAATCGTTTTATCTTTTATTGTATTTTAATTGTTGTAAGCCGTCCAGAGACCTTTGGGTAGAATGGGCGGCATATAAGTTCAATAAATAATAAATAATTAAAATAATCTTCCACTAATGGTGGGAGAAGAACATTCAAGTCTGGCTTACCTATCTCCACTACGATTGTGTTCCTTGTCTTTTAAAGACTGTTCAAACTGTTTCTGATTCAGGAAGTTCTTTTTCTGGAAAACTGTCATCACTGAGGTCACTGTAGCTGTTGCTGAATAAAAAGGAATGAATCAAGGATCCACTTCCTCACATCATGTTTCACAATATTTGGGCCCTCTTCTAATTCCCTTTCCTTCTCAGTAACAACCTCTCTATTGTCTCAATTACATCTCAGCAATGGCATGGACAGTAGAGCTTCCTGCTGTCCTGCTGAAAGATCTCCAAGAAAATATACTTTCCTATACTCAAGATAAGCTGCCAATTACTTCTATAGGAAAAAAAAACCACAACCAACCAGAATACCCACAGGGACCCAGCCACAGTGGAAAAGATGATACTCATTCTGACACTAGAAAGCACAGCCTCAGCTGAGAGTGGTTCTGATAGAGATGAAGGATTTGCCATTTCCTTCTGTCATAATGACACTTTGCTTATAACTAATATTAAAGCATTTTTAGAGCAAGATAATGATGATGTTGTACTTACTCCTTTCTGAATGTACCCAAGGAAGCATGAAATAAAACTTGATATTATGAAACAGTCTTGCATAAAAATCAAAACATAGTTTTAAATAGTAATGTTATTACTACTACAATTAAATATATACAACATAAATGACTGACTTCCCTTTATCTATATCAGTTCTCTCATACATAATCCTTACATAGTGCATAAATACTCTGCATTGATACCAATTTTAGGCTTCCTTGTTTCTTTATTCATATCACAGCATGACACAATTTAAAACAACTGATGTATATGTATAGGTAAAATGAAAATCAAATTTTAAATGTTAATTAGACTATTGTTGACCAGAGGTGGGCTACTTTCATAGAAACTTTGAACCACAGAATCATAGAAAAGTGAAGTTGGAAGGGGCCTACAAGGCCATCAAGTCCAACCCCCTGCTCAACACAGGAATACAATCAAAACATACTTTGATAGTGTTATCTTGGCCATTTGCTAAACAGGTTACTAATACTATGCACTCTACAACATTTACTAGCCATAAATACAATAAAATACTAAAACAGATTTGCTTTTTAAGAAGCTGTTCCAAAATGCTTTAAGATTACTTCCTCTTTACATATTTATGTTTAGACTGTTATGGCAGAAATTTTTATATCCAATTCTGAGTTGGTCTGTGCTTTTACCACAATAGCCAAGTATAAATACAAGAACTATGCTAATGGTTGTTCACATAGCCCGCACCAAAATGTTATCATTTTCATTATAAATGCAGGAATCTGCTATATTATATGAAACAAGACAACTGTTGACATTTTTCAAATTTAAGAACTGAAAAGATATTCTCTCTCTCCTCCAGCCCCTTTCTTCACCCTCCTAACTAGAGATAGGAGTATTTGTATATGAATATCCCCACACAGGTGGTGATAACGAGAGCCCTGCCCCATGGGGTCAGACGGTCCACCCACCAATACACCGCTGCTGCGGACGCTGTGATTATTCCAATGGCTCCACAGATTGTGATCAGCTAGCCACTCCTGGCAGGGGGCGGGAGGACAAGCCTCGCTGCAAGGTTGAAGAGTGGCTCACAGATCACGATCTGCAGAGCCACTGGAAAAATTGCAGTGTTTGCAGCAGCAGAGGATCAGTGAGTGGACCGTCCAGCCCCATGGAGCTGGACCCTCGTTATCGCCACCTGTGTGGGGATATTTGTATTCATATACAGTGGGGCCTCGCATAGCGAAGATAATCGGTGCAGCAAAAATCGCTGCAAAGCGATTTCGTTGCTATGTGATATTAAAAAGCCCATAGGAATGCATTGAAACCCCTTCAATGCGTTCCTATGGGCTTAAAACTCACCTTAAAGTGAAAATCCTCCATACGGCGGCCATTTTCGCTAAGTTAAGAGACCAGAAAACTCCTACAAAAGCCAGATTTTATTCATTGCAGGCAATTATGACATAATTAATTAGGCAAGTCTAAAGAAGGGCCTTCTTAACCTCCCAACTGTTTGTCTTAAATGGAGATCATGTAGAGATTTAGCCAAATAAAATTGAAAATAAATACTGATCAGTATTTTTACGTACCTCATTATTATTATAAACACTGCTTATAATTACAAATATTTTTAAATTAACTCCTCTCTTCCTGAAATATATATCAATGATGAAAGTAATAATGAATCACAACTCAAAACAAAAGAAGATTACCTAGGGGACAATTTACATCCACGTTGCAAGTATGCATTGAGTGAACCTGTTGCAGCAAGCAAGAGACCAAGATAGGCAGGTGAAGGTTTCATAGGTCTTGAGGAAAACTCTGGATGGAACTGGACGCCAATGAAATATGGGTGGTCTAAAGACAGATCAAAGAGAAAACTCAAGATGTTAGTAACTTTATTCTTAAAAACAATAAACAGGCTAACATTTAATAAACTAAATGCAATACATTTAGTTACGACCTTACACAAATGAAAATAATGGTATCTGCATTCAGATCTTTAAAGCAAAGCAAAGCGCTTTAAACACTTTAATGAGCTACATATGCTTTATGTGACTGAAATTCATGTAACATTATGATAAGATAAGTCACTGCCAATTGGGACCTGTGACAAAGGACTTGCATTCACCATTCTGCTAAGTCAGATATGCCCTTCTAAGAGACATGCCTTTCCCTGCTGACCAGACTTTCTGATACCTCCTTCCAATATGCAGTCAGCATCCAATAGCATTCAACTATTGACCCCATTCGTTACTGGACTATTTTTAGAGTTTCTATTCAGGGTAATTTTTTTGCATTTCTGTACATGTGGAGTCCCTTGGACCCAATAATACATTCATTACTGGAAGTGGCCTTAGTGTAATGCATTACTTATAATTTCACTTAATCTTCTATTTGGTAATAATGTACAGTACTTATCAAAAAATTCTATGTAAATTTATAGCAAATTGAATACTGCTTTTTTAAAATCATTTTTCTTAACTCAAGAAAGTTTTCTCTAATGTACTTGTGTAAAACATAAGAGGAATTAAATTTTTTCTATCCTACCCAAAGTTTTAATTTATAATTATATTTCATATATGTTATGCAATTATATATTTAAGTGATTGTCAATTTAAATTTTAGTTGTAAAACAAACTCCCCTTTTTAAATTTCATTCTCTTTGTGCTTATAAAACTCTCCTATCAGCTCAGTTATCTATGCTGAGAGGAAAGCATTGTAAGCAAAGCCTAATCATGATGGAAGAACCTTCTACCTCTTCCCTCCAATCATGTATTTCTCCTTTAATCCACACCATGCAAGGAAAGATGCTTCTTACAGGGGAGAGGTGCTCCTGGAATTCAACACATCTCCCAGACACATCTCAATGCTATTAAGCACATGCCTTCTGACATCTGATATATGCTTTGCCTGGTAAGAAAGCTGTATTACTGTGCTTCTCTGATTTGTTTTTTACAACTAATGAAAAGTCCGCTACTTAAAATGGAAAGTAGAATATGATTTTTCTCTCTCATTGCTGTTACAAATATTGCCATATATCCTTTTACTCTGTGCATAAACAGTTTAAACTAAAACTGATGATATATTTTGATCAGCACAAACGTATATCAAAAATACTCTAGCAAGATTTTAAAAACAAAACAAAAAAAAACATTTGTTGTTCTTTTACTGTGTGCCATCAAGTCAATTCTGATTTATGGTGACCATTTCCACAATTTTCTAGGTAGAGAATACTCAGAAACGGTTTACCGTTCCCTTCTTCTGGGGGCAACCTGGGGCTGGGTAGCTTGCCCAAGGCCAAACAGATCGGCTGTTCTGAGATGCACAGTGGAGAGTTGAGCTCCGAACCTCCGGCTCCACAGTCGGATACTTAACTCACTGAGCGACCCAGACAGTAACTTTATCAGTTTGAAAATGCTGAAACAGTTCATGTTACAGAAACATGAGATTATAGAATCAATTCTTTGTGCTATGGTGTCAAAAGTGATTGCTAAGGTTCAAGTTTTTACAACTAGGTAATTCTTTTAAAGACAGCTATTTCAGAATCTCTATAATTATTCTATTTTAACACCTTTATAATATACCACAGTAAGACAGAAGTACATCCCTAAATTTCAGAATCTGAAAAATGTCAGAGATGAAATTCATGTCCTCAAAATACCTCAGCATATTATAGAAACCTAAGCACAAAAGACAACTTTGATACAAATTTTAAGCTTCATGCTTAGCAACCAGTAAATAAGAATGCAAATTTACATTCAATTACCATATTTTTCCATAAAAGACACCCCCCCATTTTTCTAACCCCAAATTAAGAAATCAATATTTTAAACATAAAATGAAATACATTTTTATTTAGTAATTAGGTAACAATTGCATACCAGTACTGTCCCTGTTGCGTCTCAGCACTGCCTACATGCTCCACCTCCAACAAGGTGTGTTTTAATTGGTTTCTTCAGCATCAGCTGATAGCAGTTACATAAGGCTCATGATTGGAGGCAGCTAAACCTCCTGATTGAAGGAAGCCTGTTTGCAGAGGCAAGGTATGGGCAGTTTTGCAATTGTGCGGTTCTCACCTCAGCTTACTTCCATGTGCAAGACAACCCTCAATTTTAAGTCTAAAGATGTTAGGCAAAAGTATTATCTTATACACAGAAAAATATGGTAACAGCAGTTCACTGGCAATATAAATGGGTGCAACTAAACTAAGGGAATGTTTGTTTGTTTGTTTTATTCTATTTATATCCTGCCTATATGGTCGATATGACCACTCTAGGCGGTTATGTTATGAGTTGCTCTAAGGTTTGGAAAGGTGAACCATGAATATTAGTAATACATAAATATTTATAATGGCACGTTTTTGAGATCTTTTACACATAGTGGTGTCACCTCAACTGAGGCCATTCAAACTTTTTCTGGTCTTTTTAAATTGCAAATTTGAAAAGATTATCCCAGTATTTGTGCCCAGACATGGGGTGAGTAATTGCTAACGCATGCACTGGGTCATCCTGATATCACGCAGAAACGCTCATCTGACAAGTGGTGTCACCTCAACTGAGGCCATTCAATTTTTTTCTGGCCTTTTTTTAATTGCAAATTTGAAAAGATTATCCCAGTATTTGTGCCCAGACATGGGGTGAGTAATTGCTAACGCATGCACTGGGTCATCCTGATATCACGCAGAAACGCTCATCTGACACCAATTCCAGTGTCATGGACACTAAAAAATGTGTCATGGACACTAAAAAATGAACCAGTATAAATAAAGTTAAAACAAATGTTGAGTATGGATGAGCCTGAGATATTTATTAGTTGGAGCATTTCTTCCTTTATACTGGCTTCACCCCATATCTCTCAGACCACTGAAAGCAAATTTTAATCCTCCCACCACAAAACGTCAGCTATTAACACTTCCTCTGATTCTGAAGTCCCTGACAAATCCGTCTAGGCAAAAATGTATGATGATTTTATTAGCCTACTCTATCAGTAACAAATAGGACTATGAAGAATTTGACAAGGGATCTGCTGCACTTCTCTCCAGACTCTCTTTCCTTACAGAACTATACACCACGTGACAACATATTTCACATACGCCTGGCTGGCTGATACCTGAACTAATGTGCATTTGTCTTCCTATGAGGGGATGTACCGTATTTTGCCATGTATAAGAATAATTTTTCCATGTATACTACTTTTTCCTAAAATAATTACACAAAAAATTGAGGGGTGTCTTATACACGGACGTAAGCTGATAACATGGAGAGAACAAAATGGCAATTACACAAAAAATTGAGGGGTGTCTTATAACATGGAGAGAACAAAATGACATGTACCTTGCCTCTGTAAACAGGCTTCCTTCAGTCACAAGGCTTAGCTTCCTACAGTCAGGAGACTTAGCTTCCTCCAATCACAAGCCTTATGGAACTTACATCAGCTGATGCTGTACAAAACAAATGGAACACACCTCATTGGAGGTGGAGCCTATAGGCTCAGATTCAACAGGGACTCAAAATGTCCCTCCATTCTGAGCCAAGAGGCTGAATCCTCAAAGATAAGTTTTCTTAATTTTGGAGTTAGAAAAATGGAGGGGTGTCTTATAAACTGAGGTGTGTTATAAACGGAAAAATACGGTATTTAGCCAGCGTTTTAACCACTGCGCCACGAGGCTACAGTTATTTAACTGAAAACTGAGGAGTTGCAGTCTAAACAAGGTAAGTGACTCCTTATGGATGTACTGTTGCAAAACAGTAACTTGTTTATTTAACTGATCTCTTATTTCTTTAACAAACATGTGACTGGCAGAAGAATTAAAATGAGGCTCAAAACATTTCTGTGCAATAAGCTCTCATATAACTATAAGCCGAAAGTCAAAGTCTTTACCATTCAGTTCAATGACTTCCATTCTCTTGCCTTCAGTGTCATGGCCAACAAATTTCAAACCTTTCTCTTCAAAGAAGTGAGTCAACTCAGGATTTACCTTGAAAAAGGAAAGGTAAAGATAAAATGGATAAACAGATTACTTCGGCTGTGCTTAGAGAAATGTAATAAAGATGAAAATGTACATCTAGATATCATTTGCACTATATCATCCGTGGCAATGTCTCCTGATGGGGTCTCTCTTAATTTATAGACTCTCTTAATTTATAGAACTAGTCTTCCTTTTGTCAGCTGGAAATAACCATTCCAGGACCATATACCTTTTTCTGAACTATTGTTATGAAAGGCTACAATTGCCTTAGAATCCCCATACTGCAGTGCTTCACTTTGCAGCCTACATTATTCTCAGCCATCTTTCTCCTTTCTCATCCTCCTCATACTTCTGGAGTAACCTTCACAAACATTTAACTATTAAATTTCAGTTTTATTATATCACAAATGAAAGGTAGCTATATTGGTTCAAGACAACAAAATGAAGTCCAGAATTTACAGGATGGGTACTACTTGCCTGTGGATTTTGGATTTATTAAACATTTTCTCAATACATTGATAAAAACTCATCTTAGATGCTCCCTTGTTATCTTTTAAGAGAATTTCTTTCCTTTCCTCCCTTAGAAGCTCATGAAAAATTCCTAAGCAGCAAATTAAGAGAATTCTAATACAGTACCTAGGTAAAACAGTCCAAAGCTATTTGTGCTGTACTCCTTTATGCTGGTTTTGGGGCCAGCCCAAATGCCCTTGGCACAGGGCAGAGACAGGATGACAGCAGGAAACAATTTCCCAACCACATCAGAGCCACAAATCTCCTGTTAATTGTGGGCACAAAACCACTTATTATTTGATCACAGAAAAATTGTTTGCAGATATGTTCCAACCAGATATGGAAGCAATGAAACAGCTTGCAATGTAATAAAAATCACGTATTTGTTTTGTGTATTTGGGCTCTTCCAGACACAGCATTTATTATGCCCCACTTTCTGCTGCTTGGTGCCAAAACACACTGGATTTACCAGGATTTGCATCCAAAATTATCTTTAAAAACACATCTTTCTCTTTAAGGAATTCCCTCTTTAAAACATCTTTAAGGAATCCAGATCACTTCTCAAGTTTCTTTGACAGGGCCCTTCCTCCCCCCCCCCACTAATTGAAAGCTTCCAACTGGATTTCTTGTTACAGTCTAGCTGTGATTAGGAAGTCCTAACTTTGCCCCAGAACTGATACTAAAACTAAACATTGTTTTTAGGGTGTTTGAAACAGAGTGGAAAGTCATAGCAAAAAGCAATACAGAAAGATGCATAAAAGTAACAATGCATGGACAGCAGGAGACATACCAATAACATCAGTGCAGATGCTGGTACAGTGGTGCCTCACATAGCGAGCGCCCCATTTAACGACGAATCCGCATAGTGATGCGGATTTTGCAATCGCAAAAATGATCGCATTGCGATGGTTTTAATGGATAAGCATCGCATTGCGATGATCGGTAAGCATTTTGCTTACCGATTTTCGCACTGCGATGTTTCCCCAACAGCTGATCAGCGGTTCCAAAATGGCCGCCAGAAGAAAAAATGGCCGCCCGCAGCGTTTTTGCACGGTTTCCTTGCTTACCGTATGGCGGCCGTATGGAGGATTTCCGCATAGCGGTGAGTTTATCCCCCCACAGGAACACATTAAATGGGGTTTAATGTGTTCCTATGGGGTTTTCCGTTCCGTATAGCGACGATTCCGGAACGGATTATCATCGCTATGCGGGGCACCACTGTACTTTATGGAGGACAACTGGTCCACCTGGAAGAGCCCTTTGTTGTAGTAAGAAAAGCCAATCACAGGTAAGAGAAAGAATACAAGCTAAATTTAGAAGAATCTATGATCCAGAATTTTATTTGAAAAAAATGCGGCTTGGGGATTCTTTCTATGCCTTCATGAGAATCCATGCAAAGACATGGAATCCCAGCTTCACCTCATACGACTGGAGTGCTTGCAAACTATTGGCTAGAACCATTATGTTGCTGGCACTTCCCCTAGAAATGGAGGAAAGAACAACAATCTCTCTGTGTGTGGGGGGGCTAGAACTTTTTTGTTGTTATGTGATAATGCAGCGAAAGCTGCTGTCAGCAATCATGCATGCCGCATGCCATAGTATGCCACAACACTTGGCTGTTGAAACGTATTATACAGTTATTCTCTCCGAAGGTGAAGGAAAAAAAGGAAGCCTTGATAAACATACTGCTGCCATTACCACTTCATAACATCAATTTTCACCTTAAAGACATCCTAAAAATAATTTCAGTGAAAAATAAACAAAACAATAAATTTGTCTGGAGTTTTATTTAACCTTACATCATATACTTCATGGCCTTGATACTTGTTAGAATTAACAGAAATACCACCTTGAATTACAACTTCACTTGGCAGATCAAAAGGAAAAAAATATGTTATCTGTCACTTGCCTCATAGCGATGCCTGTGTCGTTCTTCCACAAAAACCTCACCACCGTAGAGTTTCCCTAAAAATAAAAACAAAATCCTATTTAACAGTTATTACATTAACATCTTGTCTACAACTTAATAGTTTTTTACACATTTTCTAACATCTCAAATATTCACATGGATATAAATGAGCAACTCAACCTGGCAAAGCAAGTTTTCACATTAGACTAAACACAGACGGGAAAGATAGAATACCAAATATATACAATAAGCAATGTGTAATAGATACGAATTGTTTAAGAGACTAGGGAATACAGACAATCTGTTAAGATCTTAACTAGTCTGGCTAAAAGATACAGCCAGTTATTCTAAGATAGTAAAACATACATGTCTAAAATTAAGAATGAATGGATAGGAAGGAAAAGAACACAGTGCAGTATGTATAGGAATATAGTATTTTACCTTCTGTATAAAAAACACAGGAAGGAAACAATACTGTTTGAGGAAACCTCATCGTGTTCTGTTTCATGCCCCTCTTTTCTCAGCACTGATTGTTTCCCACACTTTTGTGGTAAAGCCTAAGTCAAGAAATTGGGAAACTGAGGGATCATGGCCTCTGTTGCTCTTCTGGAAAACGAGGATTTGTTGTTCATGCCTAGCAAGAGCTGACTGAGAGAACTGGGGAGAATGCTCACTGGCAACTAGTTAGCAGCAAACATCTGTGCCTTATCGCTGTGAAAGGACACTTTAAGGCTGGACTGAGCTCACTCCTTGGTACTGAGTTAATTTAGAGAATTGTTTTTGGTGACTGAAGGGGGGGGGGGGGAAGTTACTCTGCTCTTCATGAAAGTTTGGGGAATCTTGAGGCCTGATTGGAGATCTCCTGGAAAGGTCTGGAAACGGGAATTTCAGGCATAAAAATGGAAACTTAGTTTAGCATAGCTGTCTCTTAGGATAATGCTCATCTGCTGCTCTGTTACACAACTTAGCATAGGTTAGCTGGCTTTATTATTTTCTCATGAGATTGTTCTATAATTGCTCCAGCCTTACCTTTTTGATTGCTTAATTGCTCCACAAGCCTTGTGACTGTTCTGTAACTACTAAGCCTGTTTTGATCTATTTGACTTTTCCCACCACCTTTAGTAAAATATAAAATTTCTACAGGTGTTTAGTTCTTTCTGGATTGAGAGGACTGGTGGTCCAGACTAATAAACCAAGCTTACCTCAACCATCTAGTGGGAGCCTATGAGTTTTGTGGGTATTTTTAGCATTCCTACCTTGCAGGGTTGGCATAAAAATCAAAGCTCTTAATCTTGTGTCTTTTTGATGATTCCCTCTGAAGCATTGCTTAGTCAATGGTGTTGGGAGGGTAGTGGACAGGAACATTTTCCCCAGCTATCATCTTCTTGGATTTCACCCACACCAGGACAATCAGGGTTGTGTTGGACAGTGTTTAATCTGGGCCTCTCTGACCATGATTAATCCTAACACCACAAGCTAGACCTTGGAAATCTTTCTTGCTGGAAAGTCCAATTAAGAAATTTTTACTTTTCAATGGCAAAATAGGCTGGGGTTCATTCTACCTTAAATGATACAAATGTACTTCAATGTAGGTGAAGAATTTCATTTGTGATGAGAAAAGAAGGCAGAGGGCCATGTAGAAGAGGGAAATAGAGAGTAGTAGTAATCCCTCCCATGTGGATCTGGTGGCCAGATCTGGTAACATAATGGCAATGGCCCTGAGAATGATACTTCTATCCCAAGAGCAAGGCCTCCTTAAGCTAAAAGCTTTTTTTTTGTGGATTGTGTGAATTCACAGAATGACCACTGGAAGAACCATGGTTACAGGTAAGTAACCCAACTTTCTTCTTCGTGGTCTTCTGTGAATGCACACAACAAGGGGTGATTAACAAGCTAGCTTACCGGATGGTGGGACGTCACTGAAGGGCAGATGCGAGGACGGCTCTTCCAAATTGTGTCTCCCTCTTGGCTCTCACGTCCAATCTATAGTGGGAGATGAAGGTAGAAACAGTAGACCACGTGGCCGTTCTGCATATATCTGGCAGGTCAACCCCACGTAGAAGAGCTGTAGAGGAGGCCACTGCCCGTGTGGAGTGAGCACGCAGACCTTTGGGAGGAGACTTGTGTTGTAATTCATAAGCTAACGATATTGCGGTGACCAACCATCGAGAAATCGATGGAGGGGAGGCTGGGAGTCCTTTTTTGTGACCAAAATAACATAGGAAGAGCCTTGGAGAGAGTCTGAAGTCCTTGGTTCGTGCAACATAAAAGGAAAGTGCCCTTTTAACATCCAGAGAATGGAGCATGCGCTCTGTTGTATTGGAGGGTTGCAAAAAGAAAGTGGGAAGAATCAAGGGTTGTTTCAAGTGAAACTCGGAGACAACCTTGGGTAGAAAGGAGACATCTGTATGCAGAATAACCTTATCGTTGAAAAACTGTAGAAAGGGTTGATCGACTCTTAAGGCGGCTAACTCACTAGCCCGGCGAGCAGATGTGATTGCCACGAGAAACAAAACCTTCAACGATAGTAACTTTAGTGAACAAGTGGCCAAAGGCTCAAAGGGAGGGGCCATGAGTGCATTAAGAACAAGGTTCAATGACCATTGAGGTACCAAAGGCTTAAGAGGTGGTCTGAGATGGTTAAGTCCTTTGAAGAATGCCTTGACGGTAGGGTGAGAGAAAAGACGCGAAGAAGGTGAGTCCTTGGGTTGAAAGGAAACAACTGCTGCAAGATAAACCCGTAAAGTGGCAACAGACAATTTGAGATCAAACAGATAACGAAGAAACTGAAGTGTTGTAGAGAGTGAAGCTGGAACAGGTAATAAGCCTCTAGATTCAGTGAACTTGAGGAAACTCTTCCATTTATAGGAGTATAAGGCGGAAGTGGATGGTTTCTTGGATCTATCTAGCACTTCCTTGACTTCCGGGATATCCTCCACGCTGTAAGACGGAGAGTGTGGAGGTCGGGATGAAACACCGTGCCCGCATCCTGTGTGATGAGTGCTGGAAAGTTGGGAAGCCGCACCGAATCCACCGCCATGTCTACCAGGGTTGGAAACCATGGCTGCCGAGGCCAGAAGGGAGTCACTAGTATGGCCTCCGCTGACTGGAGTCGGAGTTGTACCAACGTCCTCAGTACTAGTAGGAATGGAGGGAACGCATACAGCAGACCGTGCCTCCAGGACAGCATGAAGGCATCCCCTAGCGAATTGTGGCCTACGCCCGCTCTGGATGCATACTGAGGGCACTTCGTGTTCCGTTGAGTGGCAAAGAGATCTATAGCAGGTGTGCCCCAACGTTGACATAGTTGACGGAATACAGCCGCATCCAACTCCCACTCGTGCATCTGGTCTTGGCGGCGACTGAGTTGGTCGGCAAGAAAGTTGTCCTTTGTGGAAAGATGAACCGCCACTAGATATATGTGGTTCCGGTAGCACCATTCCCAGAGAGTTACCGTGAGGAAAAGCAGGGACTGAGAATGTGTTCCCCCTTGCTTGTTTATGTAATACATGGCCGTGGTGTTGTCGGTGACTATTTGAACACCACGGCCACGTACTAGGGGAAAGAAGGCTTTTAGTGCCTTCATTACTGCTAAAATCTCGAGGTGATTGATGTGAAGTAGCTTTTCCTGAGAAGACCACAGTGCATGGATGCGATGAGAGCCACAATGGGCTCCCCAACCCGTGGGGCTCGCATCTGTGGTGACCTGAGCCGTGAGTCGCAGAGGGAGAAATGGGCGACCTACTCGGAGATGTGGCGTGAATGTCCACCACTGTAGTTGTCGTATCAGTTCTGGTGACACCCGAAGTCTTTTCTGTGGGTGATCTCGAAGGGGATTGAAGAGGGACAAGAGCCAGATTTGCAGGGATCTGAGTTTTAGTCGAGCATGTGCAACTGCAGAGGTGGTTGATGACATCAGCCCGAGAAGATGTTGGGCATGTCTGGCTGACACTGAGCAACCGGGATGGAACTTCTGGATGGCGGTGTGGATCCTCCTTATTCGTTGATGTGGAAGAAAGATGCGTCCCTTGCGCGCATCTATCCTGGCACCAATGTAATGGACTACCTTGGATGGGCGAAGGTGTGATTTCTTGTGATTTATGGTGAGACCCAGGCCATTGAGGAGGCGAAGGATGAATTTTGTGTCTTTCAGAGCCTTGCGCTTGGATGAAGATACCACGAGCCAATCGTCGATGTATGGGAATACGTGAATGCCGTTGATCCGAAGGTAAGCTGCCACAGGGGCCATGCATTTTGTGAATGTGCGTGGCGCTGTGGCAAGGCCAAATGGAAGAGCTAAATATTGGTAAATTGAGTCCTGAAAAATGAATCTGAGGAATTTCCGATGGTCTGGGTGGATAGTGATGTGAAAATAGGCGTCCTTTAGATCTATGAGGACGAACCAATGTGTCTTCTTCAGGAGGTGTGTTATAGACTCGAGCGTTACCATGCGGAAGCGACGAGGATGCAGGTAAGTGTTTAAGTCCCTTAGGTCCAGAATGGGTCTCATCCCGCCGTCTTTTTTGGTGACGGCGAAGTATCTGGAATAGAAACCGTTGGCGATGTCTGTTTTTGGCACTGCTTGAATGGCTCCTTTTTGCAGCAAAGAGTGAACCTCCTCCTCTAGGATAGGATTTGATGTAGTATACTCGACCCCTCCTAGAGGAGGATATTCTATAAACTCTAGGCGGTAACCAGAAAAAACAATTTTTAGGACCCAAGAATCGCTTGTGATAGCGGACCAGTTTTGAAAGTATGGCCGAAGTCGTATGTCTGTGATGAGGGATGAAGGTTGGTTTAACCAGTCAAAGATATTGTTTGTGTTTCTTGGCAGGTGGTTTGTAGGATTGACGCCGCTGGGGAGCCTGATGACCACGGTAAGTAGAGGGAGCAGAAGAGTTCTGAGATGATGCAGAACGTGAAGCATCCTTGAACTGTCTGAACTGTTGCGATGGTTGATTGTACTGGTTAGAAGATCTTTTCCAATGATATCTATTAAACCTTGGTTGCGGCTGGATGTAATAGGACTTAGCGGTTTTCTTTGCTTTATGTAAGTCCTCCAGATGGGTATCAGTTTTTTCACTAAAAAGACCCGAAGAGTCAAAGGGTAAATCCTCGACTTTGGTCTTCACATCGTCAAGAATATTTGCAGCACGTAACCACGCATGTCTACGCAGAGTAACGGCAGTGACAAGAATTCTGGCTGCCGCTTCTACTGAGTGCCTGGTTGCAATTCTCTGGTGCTTTGAAACTGTTTGCGCTTCCTCATAAGTGTTAAGGAAAGCCTGCCGTGCATCCTCAGGTAACATGTGTAAGCCAGGAAGTATTCTGAGCCAGAGCTGCTTCTGATATGCTCCGAGGGCAGTTTGGTAATTAGCAACTCTAAGCATAAAAGTGATCAAGGAGTAAAGACGTCTGCCAATCAGTTCAAGTTTTTTCCCCTCCTTATTAGTGGGAATAACGTGAACTTTGCCTGATGGTTTGGTGCAGCTCGTTTCAACAATAAGGGAATTGGGGATGGGATGTTTCAGTAGAAATTTAGCGTCATCCCCAATAATCTTATACATACTCTCAGTTCTTTTAGGCAAGGGCACTGATGCAGAAGGATGCTCCCAGAATTCGTGCACAATATTCAGTAATGCAGGTAGAAAGGAAAGGCTAGGGGGTGGCGATCTTTCCTTAGTGATGTCACCGAAAATAAGGTCCTCCTCTGGAGGTGTCGGCTCATCTACACGAATCTTGAGTGTCTTGGCAAGTCTAGAAAGCATTTGTGAATAAGAGGTAAAATCCTCAGAGGGTGAAGAGTCATGAGGATTGCCTGTATCTGATTCAACCGTTTCCCCTTCTGGTAAATCTTGGGGTATAGGCTGAGGAGGTGGTTCGTCCTCAGAATCAGGTTCTTGTGAGGAGGGGGGAGCGTTGTCATCCGACGATAACTCATGCCCCCTCTTCCGACGCGGACACGGAGCGTTAGGAACTGCTGGAGGGTCGGGTTGAGGTGGTGGGAGGGGAGTCGGAACCGTCGACGTCGAGGGGGTAGCTGGAGGCGGGGCTATCGGTGGAGCTGGGGGTGGGGCCGGTTGAGGGGTTTCCACGACCTTCTTCTTGTAACGACGTCGTATCAAAAAAACTAAGATCATGGCCACTGGTCCCATCACCTCCTGGGAAATAGAAGGGGAAGATATGGAGGCAGTGTCAAATTTTATCTTCCTGGGCTCCATGATCACTGCAGATGGAGACAGCAGCCCTGAAATTAAAAGGCGCCTTCTTCTTGGGAGGAAAGCGATGACAAATCTGGACAGCATCTTGAAAAGCAGAGACATCACCTTGCCAACAAAAGTCCGAATAGTCAAAGCTATGGTTTTTCCTGTCGTGATGTATGGAAGTGAGAGCTGGACCATAAAGAAAGCAGACCGCCGAAGAATTGATGCCTTTGAATTGTGGTGCTGGAGGAGGCTCTTGAGAGTCCCCTGGACTGCAAGGAGAACAAACCTATCAGTTCTAAAGGAAATCAACCCTGAGTGCTCACTGGAAGGACAGATCCTGAAGCTGAGGCTCCAGTACTTTGGCCATCTAATGAGAAGAAAAGACTCCCTGGAAAAGACCCTGATGTTGGGAAAGTGTGATGGCAAGAGGAGAAGGGGACGACCGAGGATGAGATGGCTGGACAGTGTCTGCGAAGCAACCAACATGAACCTGACACAACTCCGGGAGGCAGTAGAAGACAGGAGGGCCTGGCGTGCTCTGGTCCATGGGGTCACGAAGAGTCGGACACGACTAAACGACTAAACACACACACACACAGTTGGCTTTATTATTTTCTCATGTGATTGTTCTATAATTGCTCCAGCCTTAACTTTTTGATTGCTTAATTGCTCCACAAGCCTGTAACTACTAAGCCTGTTTTGATCTATTTGACTTTTCCCACCACCTTCAGTAAAATAGAAAATTTCTACAGGTGTTTAGTTCTTTTTGGATTGAGAGGACTGGTGGTCCAGACAAATAAACCAAGCTTACCTCAACCATCTAGTGGGAGCCTATGTGTTTTGTGGGTATTTTTGGCATTCCTACCTTGCAGGGTTGGCATAAAAATCAAAGCTCTTAATCTTATGTCTTTTTGATGATTCCCTCTGAAGCATTGCTTAGTCAATGGTGTTGGGAGGGTAGTGGACAGGAACATTTTCCCCAGCTATCATCTTCTTGGATTTCACCCACACCAGGACAATCAGGGTTGTGTTGGACAGTGTTTAATCTGGGCCTCTCTGACCATGATTAATCCTAACACCACAAGCTAGACCTTGGAAATCTTTCTTGCTGGAAAGTCCAATTAAGAAATTTTTACTTTTCAATGGCAAAATAGGCTGGGGTTCATTCTACCTTAAATGATACAAATGTACTTCAATGTAGGTGAAGAATTTCATTTGTGATGAGAAAAGAAGGCAGAGGGCCATGTAGAAGAGGGAAATAGAGAGTAGTAGTAATCCCTCCCATGTGGATCTGGTGGCCAGATCTGGTAACATAATGGCAATGGCCCTGAGAATGATACTTCTATCCCAAGAGCAAGGCCTCCTTAAGCTAAAAGCTTTTTTTTTGTGGATAAAAAAAGTACTGTATGCCTGTTCTTTGTGGGTGAAAAAAAGATGGTTTAATGGTTTAAGCATTTGCAAGAAGTTACACCTATGCCTTTCTCCTACTTTGTGCAACAAATAGAACCACCACCAAACCAAAAGGAAGGCTGGTGGGGGAGTGGAACCAATCACTTCTCCATAAAGAACAGGCGGAAAGGGAGGGGTGCTTTCTTCTATGTATTAGTATCGTCGCTTGCAACAAAGACAAATGGCAGATGCTTTCTGCAAAAGCTACAACAGAGCAAAACATTTTCTTTCCTCCCCATTCTTGGGAAAGAAAAAAGAGGGCCTCTCCTATTCTACAGTCTGATGTGGGTGCTCATGTAGCAAGCTGACAAGTAGACAGTCAAATCCTATTGTGCGCGTCACCTATGTTCTGTGTTTTCCAAGTCACATATTATGTAGTCCTATATTGTATTAAAAACAGAAAGGAAAGACCAAGTAATTCATTCTTTGTATACATCATTTAAGCTAGAGAAGCAAGAAGTTAATTGGCTCAAAGTCAGAAGATATTACCATTTTTCCTTGATTACCCTAATAATGGGTTGATGTGGTTTTCATTATGTTGCACTTTTTTAAAAAAATAAAATAGGAATCAATACATTCAGCTTTGCACATTTTATGGACTGTCCTTGCCCTATACTCACTCCAGGAGATCCATTCTGCTGTATAATTTTATGGATACTTCTCCAACAGAAGTTAAATAGTGGTAATAATTATGTTTGAAGAAAGAATATTGAATTGAACAATCAGTATACTTATGGCATAAAAATAGTATACATTTGAATATGACAAGCATGGTGGTTTTGATGACAGAAACAAAAATTACATTGGCCAAAGAACTTTGGACTTACTTAAAATGGAATCCTCTGTTTTAAAGATAGTTTTCCTTTTTCCTAGTCTCATTGTTCCGCCCATATCTCCTGGATTGTGTTCAGGCATGTCAATCACCTTAACAACAAAAAAATATTTACTTCTGGTAGTATTATTTATATTCTGAGCAACACAAGATACTTGGTTACCAAAACTTCTACCTGTTAATCCACCCATGTGTCTAGTAAAACGATGCTGTATAATTAAAACAGGCCCAACCCACAAATTATGTTATACTGAATCAACATAGAGTGAGTCATGGAGTTGTCCAACAATTCTGTCCTTGACTTATATTACGTGAATGGTGATAGGTACTAAGGCTTAAATCCAAATGATAGTCCCACTTAAGAGTAGACCCACTGAATAAATGAGCTTCCATAAGAATTAACCATCAGTTCAGCACTTGACTCCCTAGATCAATCTTTACTGGGACTGGCCATTAGATTTAGGCCTGTATGTTATTCGCTGTGAACTCAAAGTGTAGCATCAAACCGAAAGACCCATGTAGATCTTCAGTTTGAGAAAGCCTTCCTTGAAAATGGTGAGCATGGCTCAGCTGAAATTAAGCACTCTACAATACAACTGTAGACATGTCTACCCATAAGTAAATATCACAGGACTCATTGGCTTCCTCCCAGGTGAATGAGATAGGATTAGGGCCTCAAAGTTCTGCTACCAGAAGACAAAACTGTATAAAAAGGAACACAAAAGACCCAATGCTGAATTATCTTACTGACTGCTTTAAAAAATGTATCTCACATCTCCAGCAGCCTACACAACCCGACTTTTAGTTTTAATTAACTTTCTATACTGTAGTAAGAAACTAAGTGCTTTGTAATAAATTGTGGAGCTCAGAGAGCAAACAGATTACAGTATTTTACTCAAGGTTACACTTCATCATAGTAGAAGAATACACAGTAAAGTGACTCATTCAGATACAAACATGTATGCCCCTTTACATTTTGAATGTACACACAAGAGCTAAGATCTTTTCAAAATTCTGAATGATTGAGGACCAATGGCGTAAAGGAAGCATTTTATTCCCCCTTACAAAAATTGTAGAGGTGACAGGACAAGTGACCACAGACAATACTGGGAGTTTTGGGCAGAATCCTGCCAGTCTTCATGTAAAGTCTGCATAACTTGCCATGGATAATTGCAGCTAATTGATGAGGTATTGAGATGTCTCTCAGTAGCATGTCTGGGTCAGCACAAATGAGATGCGCCTTAGCACCTCATCAATCACCTCTGCTGTAATTAGCCAGAGAAAGTTATACAAATCTTATGAGAATACCAAAAAGACTCCAGCCTTTATCTCCTGTGTTTTAACTATAACTGAAGAAAGCAGGTAAAGGATGGGATAATTTATTTGCTAGTAGATACGGAGAATCCGATTCTTTCTTGGCCTGGAAGCTTCAAGTTTTATATCAGTAGAAAATGTTTATTTTTTTATATTTATCCACAGCCTTCAAGGCCAATCGGTATTCTTAGGGTAGCTTTTAAAAGTACAAAAATAAAAACAGGGCCAAAATAAAAGTAGCAATAAAACATCAGCATAGCATAAGATAATACTCCAGGCACTACTTTAAAAGTTAGTGATATTAAAAAGCTTGTTCAGTTTGCTTACTTGATATCCTCAATATAAAGTCTGTAATCCTTAAAAGAATGCAACAGTGTAGGAATATCCCATAAGGATTCCTTGAATACACATATGCTGGATAACTCAATGGTTTACATATTTGAGGCTGTGGAGCTAGAGGTTGGGAGTTCAAATTCCTACTGTGTCTCTTTGACAAGTGCTGGACTTGATGATCCATAAGGTCCCTTCTGGCTCTGTGGCTCTAAGATTATTAAGACTACTAAGACCTCAAAAACTGCTCCATGTGTTACCTGACAATAGCATAAACACATTATCAACTCTTAAAATGCCAATGCAGTCAAGCTGAGTTGTTTTTCTGCACTTACGTTCACAGAACAGTGGAAGACTGTGCCCTCTGTTACTCTACATTTCCTTTCTGCAGTGCACACTGTCCATATCTTTTCAGCACTGGTTTAAACACAACTAAGGTTTGTTTGAGCAGAACTTTATTAAGGATGATATTCTATAGGCTAATTTTAAAAAGAATCCGACATTGTATTTGTGAAGGCTTCCACGGCCGGGATCCAATGGTGCTGTCCTCTGAAGATGCCGTCCACAGAGACTGGCGAAACGTTAGGAAAAACAACCTTCAGAACACAGCCAAAGAGCCCGAAAAACTCGCAACAACCAATCTGACATTAATTAGCATAGCCCGAAAAACCCACAACAACCAATCTAACATTAATTAGCAGTAGAAACATGCTTGAAATCTTGAAGACAAAAATAGATTAAGATCACTGTCATCCAAAATCTTAATTGCAGGAGATGGATTCATGATTCCATAAATTAACAGTGGTGTGATGGGGAACATTATGTGTGCATCAGCACAAAATTTGGATATGGAGTTCTTACACATTGGCTTTAAGGAACGTATAAGCAGTGTCTGCAAACAGTTTATGAATGGAAACAAAACAAAAACCATGATCATCATCATCCACCAGATGTGGGGTTTTAAGCCTAGGTTTATCTCTCTTTTTTCTTGCTGTGGAGACATTTTGCACAACATATTGTTCAACTAATTGCCTGGTGAATTTCCTAGACTTAGACCTAGAACATAGAAAGTACAATACGATAGTGTGTCTTTCCTTAACAAAGCTCTTTCTGTAATGGAAACGAGGATTGCTTTTTTTAAAAAAAATACTTGGTTGTATTAGGGTTGTTTTTGGGTACTCCTCAAGAAACATAATTAGAATTTGGGAGTGGAACGGAAATATAGTTTACAAGCACACGGAAACATGAACTCTTGTGATTCAGCAATAAAACAAACATTTCATAATCAAGTTGCTGGTTAGAAAGGACTGTAAGAATGCTGGCTCCAACATAGTCTCTTAAAGCAGTCATGAATATACCAATGATCCCAGTCTTGTAAGATTCAATGTAATATTTATACTTATTAATATTATTATTATTGAGATCTACTTATTAATTTTATTATTGAGATCTATTTGTCTAAAGAGACAAATCCAGATCTGTTTGAGATCTGGATTTGTCAGAGTTATTAAAAATTTATTATTAAACATCCAGGCCTGCTAACATGCTTATTCCATATTGCACAGTGTTTCATATTGCATACTGACTGAGTTTAGCTGATGCCCATTTAGGACTCAGAACTCACTACTGTTCTTTTGTTCCCTTAATATTTGAAAATGCTTGGATAACAAATAATTCTGTAGCAACTTAAAGACTAACAAATATTGGTTGTCATAATCTCTTGGGAACTGCAGCCCACATCGTCTGATGAATCCAAAAAAGTGGGCTGCAGTTCGTGAAGGTTTTCACCTAATAAAACCTGCCAGATTGTGAACCGCACAAGACTGTTTTATCAGTTTTGTTCAACAAACAGTCCCCCTCCATTTTGCCAAATGCTTGCGCATGCATTTGCTAGCACGTTTGTACTAATTTTGAAAACAAAAAAAACCTTATCAACAGAATCATATTAATGGGCAAACAATTTCAACAATGTACACTTCTGTTCTGTAACAGAAAAACAAGCTCATAATTTAAACATTTTCAAAGAAAAGGGCATGTTCAGAATGCAGTATTCTTTCAGTTACAAAAAATTACATTAGAATTTTATCTTCTGGCAGATGAAAGTTTTTATGATGGTGTTACTGATACAGGTTTTACAATGTCATTTTACTACTGCCTATTTTGTTTTACGGTTAAGAGTTTTATTTTTCTTTTTAGTTACAGTTTTATCATTTTAAAAAAAAACACTTGTTTTCACTGTGGGTACAATGATCCATTTCATGGTCCTTTCTCAGTGTTTGCCCAAAAGGATGCTCACTATCCCTTTGCATACTCAGAAGCTCTGTTGCTTTCAATGGAGTAATCATCAGATCACACTCCTGCTGGCGTCTGGAAGTTGAGTCATGGCAACTGGACTTCTTTCTTATTAGGTTGAAACATTTCGTTACTAATCAAAGTAGCTTCTTCAGTCTGAGGAGAACTGGTAGGAAACCCCTCATATATTCTCCACGTTGGTTTCACTTCTCCTTGGTCTGAATAGGCTCATTAGATGGACAAAGGATGGGTGGACAAAGGACAATGGGTGGAGGAGGACAGCAGAAGTGGGATTTTCACTCACCACCACCCTATCATTTATCCTGTCATTTGTCCATCTAACTAGCCTATTCAGACCAAGGGGAAGTGAAATCAATGTGGAGGATATATCAGGGGTCTCCTACAAACACTCCTCAGACTGAAGAAACTACTTGGATGAATAGCGAAATCTCACAACCTAATAAGAAAGAAGTCCAGTTGCCACGACTCAACTTTCAGATAACCTCACCTGGATGACAGAGCGTCTTCAAAGATAGACTCCTGCTGGAGATTTTGCAGGTGTTATATTCTGCATTTCCATAACAGAATTCCATGAATCTGGAATTTTCACAGACAGCAAAGTAAGTAAGTGAGTACAATTAAAAAAGCAAATAATGGCACAATCTTAATCCCCTCATAAGGGTGAAAATGGTGTGAGGGGAGCTCTGCCACTAGCATAAGGGGGTGGGAAGTACTACTCTGAAAGCCTACTCTGTAAGTGTAAATCTGCTTCCAGTGATATTCCAGAACAGGATGTTTTGTGAGTAGTTCTGGATCTCCTGGTTCCAAAGCTATTTTCTTTGCCTGTGGGGCCCAAGAACTGAGTCCCATATCTGCACCAGCCTCAGGATAGTGATGCTATCATTTATTTCAATGGAGAGGAAAAAATTTAAAGATTATAAAATAACTTTCTTCTAATGAAAAACATCCTTCCTCCTGCCCTAGTCATCGTGGCTCATGTCCTATACCTATACTGTTTTATGGTTAACTTAATAAGTTATTGTTTTAAAGTTCTCCAGTCTTTCTCCTTCAAACATATCAGAGCTTTACTTTCTCAGATATTCTTTAGGACTGAACAACTGACAAAGATTTTCCTCATGTATGCTTCAAAAAGGGT